CCCCCCCCCCCCCACGCCCCGCAATACATAAAAAAACCTTTTTTTTTAAAAGTTAGGTTTTCATTACTACATTTTCCATTGTTCCAAAAATATTATTACATTTTTTGGCCATATGTAACAGAGATGTTTCTAGAACCATCACATGTTTGTTAGGAGGTAGGATATTGCGCAAAGTTAGAATGGACCGCAATCTACAAGTCTTGCCAACCTTGACGTACCCTTTCTAGAACCATCACGTGCAGATAGATATTTGCAAATGAAAAATCTGTAAATAGTATCTGATGTAATATTTGTTGACATGCCATATTAAAGAAAACCCTGTATTACTCGCTTTCTGGAAGTCTATAGATGGACAACTGTGAATTAAATTAGTATACTTTGGTGTAGAGTTATCTGATACAATTTAGACGCAATTAGGACATCCCACAGTGAGAACGCAGATAGTAAACAAGTTTGACTATACATAAATTTCTAGAAGTGTAAAAAACGCATTTCACACATGCCAGCTCTCAGTATAAATAGTGAGAACGAAACAAGTTGAGAATTCTTCAGTGTATGAGATTAAAAGAAGAGGGACTAGTCACATTGACCCTCGCAGTCGAGAACCTTCAGTCGTCGAGAATTAGAAGCAGAGGAACCAGTCACATTGAGCCTCGAAGGCAGTCACTAGGAGATATGAAACACAACATTTAACTACGGAGACAACGGACAAGATACATGGATCTATGGTCAACAGAAACACATTTAGTAGAACCACTACTGAGATGTTAGAGTCGACGATCAAACCATTAGTACCAGACAGACCTAGAAACCAGGCGGCAGTTACAGACACTATAACCAGTTAGTAAAGTAACTAGAGATGAAGAACACAACGCGACCTCAAGAGTATGTAACGGGAGAGCGAAAACAGCGGCCATTCAGAGTATCATTAATGTTATTTGTGACATTACTGGGCTATCACAATAAAGATAGCATAGAAAATGAACAGTAGTTTCGAGACATGTTATACAAGCGTCAGTGACGTGAGAAGCATGTGGCAAACATGAGAAACCATCGTCATCATGACTATCGACACGACCATCTTTCTCCTGGTCTATATTCTTTCTGACTTCTGTAGTAAACCAAAAGACGAACCTTGGTGTGACATCAACGCACACAACAAAAGAGAGTCGTGCTACACATCTAACATATCGTCATTGTTATAAGGCACTTAACAAGACGTGGACATCTTCAGCACTCCATCCCCCATAACATTTGTAAAGGGACTAGATAAATCCTCATTCCCAACGTTTTCTTTGGGTCGGCGTCCTCTCTGGGAAGGGCTCCTGTCAGAATACTATGGTTGCAGATTTACCTAATATAAACCTGAAAAACATACCTACACGTATATACTTTCTTCTTCTTCTTCTTCTTCTTTCTTCTTCTTCTTCTTCTTCTTGTTCTTGTTCTTGTTCTTGTTCTTGTTCTTCTTCTTCTTCTTCTTCTTCTTCTTCTTCTTCTTCTTCTTCTTCTTCTTCTTCTTCTTCTTCTTCTTCTTCTTCTTCTTCTTCTTCTTCTTCTTTTTTTTTTTACTTTTTTTCGACGTATATAAGGGCGATTGACATACTGTCTTGTGGTTTACAGTTAGGCTTCGATATTTGCCTTTTTCAAACCAACACATTCGTTTTAAGCATTTCTTTTTTAGAGGTAAAGAATAAACCCATTGCCTCTTAACAAGCATGCCGTATTAGGCGAGTAATATGGAACTTGGACCCACACTGGTAATAATTCATAAATGTTAACATACTAACATACACTCACACACACGCACATGCATGCACGCATACACGCACACATACATGCACGCACACACGATGGTTTAGTATTCAACCAATCCGCTGCCGCCTCCACAATAAAGGCTATCTCCAACGTTCCAGGTATGCGTGTGTTGTTAGTAATGAAAGAGCTGATAGATTTGCAGGCTCTGCATTAGTTGCCCTTAGATAGATAGGATGCTTCGGGGATTTTGGGAGCCACATATCCCCATCCCTGCTAAGAATACAAGAATTGGGAGTAAAGATCGGCACAGCCAAGCATGAGAGGCACACTAGAAGTACACGATGTCTTGTGAATCAGCATACGACTAACCCTATTAACCGTGCGACACTGATAAATATGTTGAAGGGGGAATCTGAGCACCCATGGATGTGTTCGGAGTGCTGTGAAGACAACCCAACTCATAACTCACACCTACAACTCTTATCCGTCATCTTCGCTGAACACTGAGCTCTAAGACTACCTTCTTTTGTTGCTGTCCTTCAGCTTGTATCACTGTCTACCTCTTTGTTGCATGTTTTTAACTTTTTTCTCTATTACGGTTTACATAAAAGTATTATTCCTACTAAAATGGTTGATATTCTTTTCGCATTTCCATAAGCTCATTTAGCCGGTGCTACAGAGCCTGTGCACTGTGCTGAGCTTCTTCGGACTCAGACTTGAGTTAGAAGAAGAACGGAGCACATAGGGTTACTACCCGTGTGCCATGATGTTGGTCCGTTGTTCAAATTGTTCGAACTTCAAACCTTTAGGCATCTCGTCTTTTTGTCTTTTAGCATCTGTAGTCGAGTTTTTGTTTCCATGAGCTCTGTCTCGTAAAACCCTCTCCCTTTCCACGTTTTAATTATGACTGTGGCAAGATAATCCTCACCGTAATCTCGCCCTCCATCTTTTCCTTCTTCCTCTGCCTATTGCAGATTAACAATGATGCACGGCACACGATGATGCTGTCACCCTCACTTCGGGCGAGTGGCCGGCCCTGGCGGAAGTGCTGTCTCACGGTAAACGTCTGCCACAAAGCGTCCAACTTGTCTCTAAGTAAGTTTTACTACCACTCTTCTCTTGACTACCCGTCGCTTTCTTGTAGTCAGTCTTCCCGAAAAGAAAATACCTGTTTAGAGAAAAAGAAATCGCAGTAATGTGTCACCAGCATTTGTTTCAGTAAACCAACAAAGTATGTACTTGGTCTTAGATTTAGATCTTCTAAGATTCTCTCATTCTCATTCTGACCTGGGCACCCCACCTTAGAATGATTTAGTCTAACTAACTAAGTTAGTGAACTTAGTCCAATAAGTTTTATATTTATCATTATTTTTGTATTTACTTATAAAACGAGATGAGTGTCACCAGCGGTGAACTGATGTTTTTTAATCGGCAGTATTCAGAGTACAACAGAACACCCCCAGAGTTGCGGTCCGGGTTAAACCATGTTCCGGAGACAGAGCAAATGAACCATCATCATTCAGTAACTAGTAAATATTGAGTTAAGGGGGACTTGGTTTGACGACCAGAAGCGCGCTGCTGTGTTAGTGTTATGCTTCCTGCTCAGTAGAGTTGCTACTACAGTTCACATGGATGTTATGTAACTGATGTTGAAATTGAAGTTGTCTGCTACAAATCATGCCTCCCCTATTCACTCACTTTCAATGGCAGTTTCGAGGCTACTATTTTGTCTGTTGTCCCGGTGAAGGATATGCTGAAAGAAGATTGGTTGGATTTAAATTTCAGTTTATACTTCATATATAATGCGCTTTGTAATGCCGGAGTGCTAGGTTCGATCCCAGCTGCGGACCTCGCACATTGTGTTGTTTTTGACAGTTGATATTGAGAACCCGACCGTCCAGACAGCAGTGGCAAACTACTGATCATAAATTTGCCCAGAAAAATTACAGCAGCTAAAAAATGCTTGAAACTGATTGTCCTGTAAAGGATACACAACTAATTACATATATAAAATTAATGGCTGTTGTCCGAATAATGGTCCCAAATTATCGAGGCCGAAAATATACCCTAACAGGGCCTCAGTCACATGTCAGTTGTGGACTTCCGCCACCGCCGAGAGTATCTCTCGTGCTGCTACGCGTGGCGTGGATTGGGGCTAAACTAGATGGTTGGAACCCACGAGCAAATAAAATGAAGGAAGCTGCAGGAGATGCGGTAGCTGCTGCTCGTGAGTCCCAGCCATCTAGTTTAGCCCCAATCCACGTAATAGCGTTGGAGATACTTTCGTCGGTGGCAGTAGTCGCCAGAAGTGCGCAATTTAAGTCGCTGCAAGTCCACAATTGACATCGCTGGAAGTCCACAATTAACATGTGACTGAGGCCCTGTTAGGGTATATTTTCGGCCTTGATAATTTAGGACTGTTTTTTGGAAGATAGCCAAATTAATTAAAAGTTTTATCTGTAATTAATTTGCCATTGCTGTCTTACACCTAATGAACTATATCATCATCATGAAGTGCTTGGAGACTGGCATGGGCAGTTATGCAATTTCTGTGATCTGCAATTGCGTGTTACACTTCATGTGTTGACACCCCTCCATGTCATGACAAAAAAACTTCAAGAATCTTCTCCTACTGTCTTCCTGTCTCTCTCTCCACAAATCTTTCCTGTGATCACATGATGTTCCATTTTGCCTCTTCTCATAACATGGCACTTTCTCTGGAGTAGCTGGACGACGGCCAGGTATCACCTGTAGAACATGCTGGTCTCTACCGGCTGGACGACTGTCAGGTATCACCTGTAGAACATGCTGGTCTCTACCGGCAGGACGACTGTCAGGTATCACCTGTAGAACATGCTGCTCTCTACCGGCTGGACGACTGTCAGGTATCACCTGTAGAACATGCTGCTCTCTACCGGCTGGACGACTGTCAGGTATCACCTGTAGAACATGCTGGACGACTGTCAGGTATCACCTGTAGAACATGCTGCTCTCTACCGGATGATGAACTGTGTAGCTTATAATCTGATTAGATTTACTCGATTGCTTTTAGTCATCATGTAATCAGGTCTATCATATGCAACACATAGTCAATATGATCTCCATCTTAGACTACACTAAGAAAATATTATAGTTGCTATTACTTCATCATCATTTGTATAGCTTTGACTGTTTTTATTTTAGAACATTTGTAACTTTGGTCATACCCAGTTAGGTACCAAAAGTTGAGATAGCAACAGACAATGGCTAATCTACGACACCTTCAGAATGATGCAGATTTTGCAACTGAACTCAGCAATGCTGGCACAAGGTTGGTGGTTGCGGACTACTTTGCCACATGGTAAGTCTACATGTGCTCTTGGTTAAGTCTACATATATTCTTGGTAAGTCTACATATGTTTTTGGTAAGTCTTCATGTATTCTTGCTTGTCTTCATATGTTCTTAGTAAGTCTGCATATGTTCTTGACAAAAAAATGTTCTTAGTAAGTCTTCAAATATTCTTGGTAAGTCTTCGTGTATTCTTGCTTGTCTTCATATGTTCTTGCTTAAGTCCACATCTGTTCTTAGTAAGTCTGCATATGTTCTTGACAAATAAAATGTTCTTGGTAAGTTTACATATGCTCTGGTGTGTTCGTGGTATGTCTAAAATGTTCTTGTTAAGTCTGTATATGTTCTTGGTAAGTCTACATATGCTCTTGGTATATCTATATTTGTTCTTTGTGAGTCTACATATATTCTTGGTACATCTACATATATTCTTGGTACATCTACATATATTCTTGGTACGTCTGCATGTATTCTTGGTACGTCTACATATGTTCTTATTTTAGTCTACATAGGTTCTTGATAAGACTAAATATGCTCAGGCGTGTTCTTGGTAAGACTAAAATTCTTCTTAGTAAGTCTACATGTGTTCTAGGTTAGTCTGCATGTGTTCCTGGTTAGTCTGCATATGTTTTTGGTAAGTCTGCATATGTTCCTGGTAAGTCTGCATATGTTCTTGGTAAGTCTGCATATGTTCTTGGTAAGTCTGCATATGTTCTTGGTAAGTCTGCGTATGTTCTTGGTAACTCTACGTATGTTCTTGGTAACTCTACGTATGTTCTTGGTTAAGTCTGTATATTTTCTTCTTCTTCAGCATTTCTGAGCCCTTGAAGTTCATTACTGCACATATAAACTCACCTCCATTCAAATCTGATTAGCATGCCTTTTTTTTCATATAGAGGCTGTGTTTTTAGGTCTTTTCTCCATCACCTTCTTGGTTTGCGTCGTGGTCTACTGTCATTAATGTCTTTTCTATTCAGTTTTTATCTATTTGTAATATGAAGTTCTCTCTCATGTCCCAACCATTGCAGTCTATTAGCCTTCATAATGGCAGTAATTGATTGTGTATTGAACACAAGAATTTTGTCACTTACATATATAGACACCGTCTTAATTTCAGGTGTGGTCCGTGCCGAGCAATAGCCCCAGCCTTTGCTGATTTCAGCACTCGCTATCCTAAAGCAGTGTTTCTCAAGATTGATGTGGATCAGTGCCAGGTAGGTTGAGATCTTAGAGAGTGCTCCCTGTGTAGTTCTCACTGTTTAGGTCTGTAGGGCATGCAGTTTGCTAATGCATTGTCTACATTTATAGACTGGAGTGCATGGGTTTGTTGCCCAGCTACTGTGTTAAGGGCTTCGTGCAATGCTGTCATGCCCCATGACAACAGCCCATACCTGTCATAACTTACCTGTCACAGCCCATATCTGACATAACTCAACCTTTCACAGCCCATACCTGACTCACCTGTCATAACTCACTTGTCACAGCCCATACCTGCCACAACTCACATGTCACAGTCCATACTTATCATAACTCACCTGTCAGAGCCCATACCTATCATAACTCACCTGTCACAGCCCATACCTGTCATAACTCACTTGTCACAGCCCATACCTGTCATAACTCGCTTGTCACAGTCTATTTTAGCAATTGATTGTATCAGACTCTCCAGCAGGCTCATTACTGTAATATTGTATTCTTTTGTAACAGTGAGTTGTAACAGTTAATTATAACTGTTTCTTTGTTACTGTTGTGACTGTAATAACCGCCACTTGTTACATCCATTGATTGTCTACGTCATCAGGAAACAGCCCAACATGAAGGCGTCTCTGCCATGCCAACATTTATATTTTATCGCAACAAAACAAAACTGGACACGATGCGTGGTGCAGATCCTGCTCTTCTGGAAGAGAAGATCAAGAAATGGTACACAGAGGAGGAGGGGGAGGAAGGAGACAGTGTGGTCAGAGGTCATGTAAGTCTTGTGTCTGCCTGTCTTGTCTTACTTGTGTCTGCATGGCTTGTCTCACTTGTGTCTGCATGACTTGTCTTTCTTGTGTCTGCCTGTCTTGTCTTACATGTGTCTACATATCTTGTCTGCATTGTTGTCTTACTTGTGTCTGCCTGTTTTGTCTTACTTGTGTCTGCATATCTTGTCTTACTTGTGTCTGCATTGTTGTGTCTTACTCGTGTCTGCATGTCTTGTCATCTTTGTGTGTTTCAACTGTTGAATTCTGTTACCATTGTCAGAGGCAGCTAAAATCCAGAGAATTGTAAAAGAGTTAAAGTGTCTACAGGGAACTTTGAGTGTAACCAAACAGTTTATGCCATGTCAACTCAGCCTTTGCAATCAAGTGCAGTTCACTCCATGTCCTTCCCGTCTTTTTCACCTTATTCTTTTGTCTATGTGTTTGTTTTTCCTTTGTTTCTTTGACCGTGGGGGTTCTTGTGAAAGGGGACATTTTTTGTTCAGTGGGTTTGTCAGTTGTGTTTGTGGCAGTGATATTTTAGGGAATGAGATCCAGTCCTACATGTAGTCACCTCTCGCCTGATACCTGGTTGACTGCTCACCTGATGCCTGGTTGACTGCTCACCTGATACCTGGTTGACTGTTCACCTTATGCCTGGTTGACTGCTCACCTGATGCCTGGTTGACTGCTCACCTGGTACCTGGTTGACTGCTCTCCTGGTAATTGGTTGACTGCTCACCTGATACCTGGTTGACTGCTCACCTGATACCTGGTTGACTGCTCACCTGATACCTGGTTGACTGCTCACCTGATACCTGGTTGACTGCTCACCTAATGCTGTGCACTGTTGTCCTGTATTGGTAGTAGATCATGCTGTGCACTGTTGTCATGTATTGGTAAGTAGATCATGCTGTGCACTGTTGTCTTGTATTGGTAGTAGATCATACTGTGCTCTGTTGTCCTGTATTGGTAGTAGATCATGCTGGGCACTGTTGTCTTGTATTGGTAGTAGATCATGCTGTGCACTGTTGTCCTGTATTGGCAGTAGATCATGCTGTGCACTGTTGTCCTGTATTGGTAGTAGATCATACTGTGCACTGTTGTCTTGTATTGGTAGTAGATCATGCTGTGCACTGTTGTCCTGTATTGGTAGTAGATCATGCTGTGCACTGTTGTCTTGTATTGGTAGTAGATCATACTGTGCACTGTTGTCTTGTATTGGTAGTAGATCATGATGTGCACTGTTGTACTCTATTGGTAGTAAATCATACTGTGCACTGTTGTGCATTTGTCTTATATCCTGATGAAGTTTTTCTAGCTGCATTGTTCATTTTATCATCCATCATCATCATAAACCACATAGGCCATTAAGCTTCATGGGGAGGAAGAATTTCCAATTAGTGATGATGACTGGTACTGGCTAGTGTCATGCAGTAAAGGGTCTTTAATATGGTCAATCCATATTTTTATGGCAGTCTTCTTGCTGTTGTAGCTGATCGTCTGTGATGGTATTTGATGCTGCTGCATCCTAATGATATGACCTGACCACTTCATCTGCTGTTTCTCTAGGAAACATCCATGATTGTATGTTTAATAAGCTGACTATTCTACATCTCATTTGGCCTGATATGTTTTCATGATATTTGTTGTGATGATTTCAGATGGATTTACTGTCACTGATCAACAAGTCTGCCAGTGAGTGCCTGAATGAATCAGATGAACACACACTGGAGCATTGTCTGACTGCCAAGGGAGGCTATCTAGAGTCTGACTGTGATGAGCAGGTGATGGGTTTTATATCTCTCTTACTTCCCCCTGGGTCAAGAACCTAAATGGTTTTATATCTCTCTCTTACTTCCCCTGGGTCAAGAACCTAAATGGTTTTATATCTCTCTCTTACTTCCCCTGGGTCAAGAACCTAAATGGTTTTATATCTCTCTCTTACTTTCCCTGGGTCAAGAACCTAAATGGTTTTATATCTCTCTTACTTCCCCTGGGTCAAGAACCTAAATGGTATTATATCTCTCTTACTTTCCCTGTGTCAAGAACCTAAATGGTATTATATATCTCTCTACTTTGCCTGGTCATTATATCTCTCTTTACTTCCCCTGGGTCAAGAACCTAAATGGTTTTATATCTCTCTTACTTCCCCTGGGTCAAGAACCTAAATGGTTTTTATATCTCTCTTACTTCCCCCTGGGTCAAGAACCTAAATGGTATTATATCTCTCTTACTTTCCCTGTGTCAAGAACCTAAATGGTTTTATATCTCTCTTACTTCCCCTGGGTCAAGAACCTAAATGGTTTTATATCTCTCTTACTTCCCCTGGGTCAAGAACCTAAATGGTTTTATATCTCTCTTACTTCCCCTGGGTCAAGAACCTAAATGGTTTTATATCTCTCTTACTTCCCCTGGGTCAAGAACCTAAATGGTATTATATCTCTCTTACTTCGCCTGGGTTAAGAACCTAAATGGTTTTATATCTCTCTTACTTCCCCTGGGTCAAGAACCTAAATGGTATTATATCTCTTTTACTTCCCCTGGGTCAAGAACCTAAATGGTATTATATCTCTCTTACTTCCCTTCAAGAACCTGAATGGTTTATATCCCTTACTTCCCCTGGGTCAAGAACCTAAATGGTATTATATCTCTCTTACTTCCCCTGGGTCAAGAACCTAAATGGTATTATATCTCTCTTACTTCCCCTGTGTCAAGAACCTAAATATCTCTCTTACTTACTTCCCCTGGGTCAAGACCTAAAATGGTTTTATATCTCTCTTACTTCCCCTGTGTCAAGAACCTAAATGGTTTTATATCTCTCTTACTTCCCCTGGGTCAAGAACCTAAATGGTTTTATATCTCTCTTACTTCCCCTGGGTCAAGAACCTAAATGGTTTTATATCTCTCTTACTTCCCCTGGGTCAAGAACCTAAATGGTTTTTATCTCTTCTTACTTCCCCTGGGTCAAGAACCTAAATGGTTTTATATTCCTCTCCCCTGGGTCAAGAACTTTTTTTATACTTGTTAGTAAGCCTGGGTCATTCTGTTAGCAGGACCTATTGATACTGTTAGCAGGACCCACTGATACTTTTAGCAGGACCCATTGATACTGTTAGCAGGACCTATTGATACTGTTAGCAGGACCTATTGATACTGTTAGCAGGACCTATTGATACTGTTAGCAGGACCTATTGATACTGTTAGCAGGACCCACTGATACTTTTAGCAGGACCCACTGATACTTTTAGCAGGACCCACTGATACTGTTAGCAGGACCCATTGATACTGTTAGCAAAACCCTTAAATGCTGACCAAGCAGTAGGGAAATCTTGAACCCCTGGAGATGTGATATACAGAATAATAGATCACATTTCATGGAAACAGGCCAATCATAGACATACATTTAAGAGAAGTAACAACAGAGATGAATGAAAAAGTTTAGCCACATTAAAAGACATAACATTAAGATGCACTGAAAGACACAAGAAAAAGAGAGATAGCGATACAACTGGGAAGAAGGGGTGAATAGCAACTCAGAGAGTCTGCAACCAGGCTATGGGGATTGTTTCTTTGACCTAATTGACTGACTTGATTGTTTCTTTGACCTAATGGATTTATTTGATTGTTTCTTTGACCTAATTGACTGACTTGATTGTTTCTTTGACCTAATTGACTGACTTGATTGTTTCTTTGACCTAATTGACTGACTCGATTGTTTCTTTGACCTAATTGACTGACTTGATTGTTTCTTTGACCTAATTGACTGACTTGTTTGTTTCTCTGACCTAATTGACTGACTTGATTGTTTCTTTGACCTAATTGACTGACTTGATTGTTTCTTTTACCTAATTGACTGACTTGATTGTTTCTTTTACCTAATTGACTGACTTGATTGTTTCTTTTACCTAATTGACTGACTTGATTGTTTCTTTGACCTAATTGACTGACTTGATTGTTTCTTTGAACTAATTGGTTGACTTATTTCTTTATCTGTTTGGTTGATTTGTTTCTTTGATCTAATTGGTTGACTTGATTGTTTCTTTGAACTAATTGGTTGACTTATTTATCTGTTTGGTTGACTTGTTTCTTTGATCTAATTGGTTGACTTGATTGTTTCTTTGACCTAATTGATTATTTCTTTCAGCTCATCATCAATATTGGGTTTCTGCAGTCTGTCAAGTTACACTCTCTCAAACTTCATTGCTCACAAGGTAAGACAGTATGTCTCTCTCTGCTGGAAGTCTGTAATGTTTGGTTCTGTTGTTGCAGAGCCAGCTGCCAGCTGTCTGCATTGAAGGGGTTCTCCAGGCGAACAATCCCCTGCCTTCCGTAACAGGTACAGGAAGTCCCAGTTGAATCTTTCACCGAATGGACGGGAGTCCCTCACATCTAACAAAACCAGGTCACCCACATCCAGCATTAAATCATTCAAACTCCAGAATTCACTCATTAACTGGCAATATTACATTTTCATTTCTGTTCAGTACACTGCCATATGATAAATGATAAATCAATAGACTATAACTGCAGTCGCTAATTCAACAACAACGTTAACATCCAGCCAGTAAGAATGACTAACACCACATTGACACATGTATAGGCCAGGGTATGTTAACTGAAAATCTGGGATGAAAACTGGGATATGGCTTGTATTGGAGATATTAGGCCTACATGTTACTTATACAAAATGTATTAGTTAACGGGAATCTCATCTGCATTTCCAGTTGCTCTTATGCTGTAGTTGTGTGGTCTGTCACTTCAGAACATGTCTTTGAAACCAGGCAGTTTTTATTGGTGACGCACTATTTGCAACTTAAATTTACAAATGTAACTTGCTCTTGCGCGGCTTATCTTTCACTGCTTACTGGTACTACTGTTTCAGTGTTGGTCTTAGCAAAAAGACAAATATTTTCTTCCCCTAAAATTGTCATTTCAGAAACCAGACACGGCATACACATGCGCGTGGCCTATATAGGCATGCATATATACGCCACTTCACCGTTCTGGTAACTTGGTCAACCATCAGCCTTCACAACTGCAACATACTATATACAGGCACAGGTATGAGCATGCTTTAATGGGGAACCATCTCTCAAATCCCAGTGTTTTTACATCTGCAGAAAGGCTCCCTACTGACTTTTGTACCTGGCCGCCCCAGACTGGTATCTACTGCCACCCCAACCATCCAGTCAGAAGCCTCCATGAAGTCCTCTGGTTGGTGATGTCATAGCATCACCAACTGACTAAACAGTACACTGAAACTGACCACTCCTCTCCTGTGGTTTGTGATGTCATAGCATCACCAACTGCCTAAACAGTACACTGACACTGACCACTCCTCTCCTGTGGTTTGTGATGTCATAGCATCACCAACTGACTAAACAGTACACTGACACTGACCACTCCTCTCCTGTGGTTTGTGATGTCAGACCATCATCAACTGACTAAACAGTACTCTGATACTGACCACTCCTCTCCTGTGGTTTGTGATGTCATAGCATCACCAACTGACTAAACAGTACACTGACACTGACCACTCCTCTCCTGTGGTTTGTGATGTCATAGCATCACCAACTGACTAAACAGTACTCTGATACTGACCACTTCTCTCCTGTAACTATGTGGTAACTCAACCACAGTTGTGGTGTCTATTTGACCGCTGTTTGCTGGTGCTACTGAGATGTAACATGTTTAACTCCTGATGCAGATAATGGACCCAAGAATATCAAACTGTTCATCAACCAGCCCCACACGCTAGACTTTGACTCTGCAGACTCCATGGAGCCAGTACAGATGTTGGAGTAAGTGTTGCCTGGTAGGGCAGTGTTTGTCTTCTCTTGTAGATATGTCTTTCTGATGTGGATAATTGAGTGCTTGTCTGGAGGAGTGGTTGGCTGGGTGGTTAGAGCAATAGGCTGTCATGAAGGAGCCGCGGGTTCAGTCCTCAGTATGGAAGGGAGATTTTGTTCTGTTGAGGACAGAACTAAAAATCTTATCTTTACCTGCACAGTTCAAGGCCTTAAATCCTCAGGCTTTCAAGTTGCATGGAGCACTTTCATCAATTGTGTGTGAAGCACTTTTCATCAGTTGAGCACTTGTTATCAATTGAGCACTTTTCATCAAGTTGTAAGTGAGGCACTGTTCATCAGTTGTGTATGGGGCACTGTTCATCATTTGTGTATGGGGCACTGTTCATCAATTGTGTATGGGGCACTGTTCATCATTTGTTTATGGGGCACTGTTCATCATTTGTGTATGGGGCACTGTTCATCATTTGTGTATGGGGCACTGTTCATCAATTGTTTATGGGGCACTGTTCATCATTTGTGTATGGGGCACTGTTCATCATTTGTGTATGGGGCACTGTTCATCAATTGTGTATGGGGCACTGTTCATCATTTGTGTATGGGGCACTGTTCATCATTTGTTTATGGGGCACTGTTCATCATTTGTGTATGGGGCACTGTTCATCATTTGTGTATGGGGCACTGTTCATCATTTGTGTATGGGGCACTGTTCATCAATTGTGTATGGGGCACTGTTCATCATTTGTGTATGGGGCACTGTTCATCATTTGTGTATGGGGCACTGTTAATCATTTGTGTATGGGGCACTGTTCATCAGTTGAGTATGGGGCACTGTTCATCAAGCTGTATGGATATTTTGCTTGTATCAGTTGAATATTGTGTGGTTGATGTGCAGGTTAACCCCTGAAGATCTGCAAGAGGGCGCTGTCATTCCACTCAAGTATGTGAAGCTGCAGAACGTCATCAGTCTGACTGTAAGTGTTGTCCCAGGGTAACTGGTGCCTCCCTCCAGTTTCTGTTGTTTGTTTCATGTACAGGCGGGTGTGTACCTCTAGCTTTTTCTCATTTCTGTACACAAGCGATGAACTGGAGGATGAAGTCTCTTGTTTTTGTTGCTTTGTGTACATCAGTGTGTATCCTTCTTCAAGCTAGACCACCTCTGCTCTTCTTCTTCTTGATGTCCTTTCTTACCGCTCAGGGTGTCGGGGGAAATATAAGGTCCTGCTTCAACCAGACACATTGTGGTACTGTAGTGTTTCTCTGATGTTATCCTACCTTCTTGTTTTTGGTCTAATTGCTCTATGTCCCTCTCCTCTTTTGATATATGCCTTGTATGATATATCACCGAAAGGCATTCTCTCCAAGTGGGCAAACCAATTATTTGCTGTCTTTGTATATAATTCAGAATTGGTTCAGTGCCGACTTTATCTCGTATGACCTCATTCCTGATTTTATCTCTTCTGGTCACTCCTACAGTCTTTCTCAGACATCTCATTTCCATGGTTACAAGTTGTCTTTTATGTTTTGTTGTGAGTGACCATGTCTGGCACTGGTGGCATAGGGTAGGATTGAGTATGCTTTGTATGAGATGTCTCTTTGTGCTGATTACAAAGCATATTCATTCCCACCCTATGCTCCCCAGTAAATATCCTACATGACTTCTTCCTAGTCAGTGTTACATTTTGTGTATGGCCACAATAATCACCATTCTTGAGATCAGATGTTGCTGAGTTAATTCTTTTCTTCTTGACATTCGCTGGATGTAAACTCTGGCAGAGACTTATGCTTGGTCTTAATCCACAACTTGGGTGTGATTCATGCTCATCCATTTTTTAGAGCTTGCTTATTTGTATGCAGACTGTTGGTTCCTTGCCTCACAGGCAGACACATTTTGACTTTTAAGGAAATACCCTCCTTTAGTCAACTCCTACAATGTGCTTTATGGGGGGGGGGGGGGGGGGTGTCTATTCTTTGTTCTAGAAAATGGAGTCCCAGAAACCCACACAGGGATATGAGTTCATGATTATTCTCATCTTTTAGAGTGTCATTATTTCATGTTTGCCTGGTCCATGGTTTTCTGAGAACCTCTATAGTATTTCAGCTGAGAAGCCCATATTTTCTTCCTTTAAAAAAAACCGTTTGCTGATCAATAATAATTGTCAGAATGGTGTTATTCCGAACTTTCTCTTCTCTTCTCCGACACACTTAGTATAATTGCATGTGCGATTCGTGCAGACACCAGGGCCGGCTGTGTCAGCCTTGTTGCCTCCACAGACTGTATGTAGTTGCTTCTACTGTTAGTGTTACTGTTTGGCACAACAAATGTGAACACAAGTTTGTGGTGCATGACATAGCTGACGGATATCCCCTGTCTGTTTGCCACAAATGTAAGCCCTCAGGTGTTGGTGCAAACCCATACACAGGTTGCTTCATAATCATCGGCCGCCCCAGTGTGTGTTGTAGTTTCCTGCTGTTGCATTCTTCCATGGATAACGGGTGTTTTAAGATAATGGGGGTTACTCTGTTAGAAAGCAAGCTTCAGGGACTGCAACAACAAGATGTGGATGGCTGTCTGCCTAAAGGATGTTGGTTTGACTCCACACCGTGAAAGCTTATCATTGACCTGGGGCTCTAACCTAAAGCTGATACTTGAGAGTATGCTTGGGAGTTAAGTTTGCTAAGATGTGGATGGCTGTCTGCCTGAAGGATGTTGGTTTGACTCCACACCGTGAAAGGTTATCATTGACCTATAGCTGATACTTGAGAGTATGCTTGGGAGTTAAGTTTGCTAAGATGTGGATGGCTGTCTGCCTGAAGGATGTTGGTTTGACTCCACACCGTGAAAGGTTATCATTGACCTATAGCTGATACTTGAGAGTATGCTTGGGAGTTAAGTTTGCTAAGATGTGGATGGCTGTCTGCCTGAAGGATGTTGGTTTGACTCCACACCGTGAAAGGTAATCATTGACCTGGAGCCTATAGCTGATACTTGAGAGTATGCTTGGGAGTTAAGGTTGCTATCCTGATGTTGACTACTACATCAGTCATGGAGTGCCAGCCAGTTAACCTCTGTAACCCTAGCTCTAGCACCATATGCACACTGCATGCCTTATTTACTTTTACTCAAAGATTTAAAAAAAAAAAACCATTATTACACATACTCTGGTTTTGTTTCCTCTGAAGTAGGCACACACCTCACAATGAAAAAAAAAATCATTACACATCTCATACTTTGCTTCATGTATAGTTCTGTCCCACACAGATTATTATCGTCATTGTGTTGCAGGATGTCTGTCAAATGTCACTTTCATTAAAACCTCCCAGAAATGCCTGGTCCCTCATTGACCCCCTTTTCTCGTGTGTATTGTCATGTCCAGTGTGACTTTCACTGAGATGTAGGCCAGCAGATATAATCACAGCCATCATTTATGTTTGCAGCTGTTTATCAAAGACAATCAAGTGGGAGCAGATACAACCAGGATTGATCATCTAGCACTGATTGGCTCCCCAACCAGCTCCACCAATATGGCAGAGTTCAAGAGGGTAGGTTCCTTCTCACCTTCTGTTAGATATTTGAGTTGCTGCAATTATTGCAACAGATACACACGTCTCTCATCTTTCTCTTTTGTCTGCTGGTGTGTCGAGCTTTTATCTACTTATCTGATCCCACTTTATGTTGTCTGCTGGTGTGCCGACCTGTTATCTGCTCCCACTTTATGTTGTCTGCTGGTGTGCCTGTGTGTCAACCTGTTATCTGATCCCACTTAATGTTGTCTGCTGGTGTGTTGTCCTATTATCTAATCCCACTTTATGTCTGCTGGTGTGCCTGTGTGTCAACTTGTTATCTGATCCCACTTTATATTTGCTGGTGTGCCTGTGTGTCAACCTGTTATTTGATCCCACCTTATGTTGTCTGCTAGTGTGTTGTCCTATTATCTGATCCCACTTTATGTTGTCTGCTGGTGTGCCTGTGTGTCAACCTGTTATCTGATCCCACTTAATGTTGTCTGCTGGTGTGTTGTCCTATTATCTAATCCCACTTTATGTCTGCTGGTGTGCCTGTGTGTCAACTTGTTATCTGATCCCACTTTATATTTGCTGGTGTGCCTGTGTGTCAACCTGTTATTTGATCCCACCTTATGTTGTCTGCTAGTGTGTTGTCCTATTATCTGATCCCACTTTATGTTGTCTGCTGGTGTGCCAACCTGTTATCTGCTCCCACTTTATGTTGTCTGCTGGTGTGCCGACCTGTTATCTGCTCCCACTTTATGTTGTCTGCTGGTGTGCCAGTCTGTTATCTGCTCCCACTTTATGTTGTCTGCTGGTGTGTTATCATATTTCTACTAATCTGCTCTCACTTTATGTTGTTTTCTGGTGTGCCGACCTATTATCTGATCCAATTTTATGTTGTCTGCTGGTGTGTTGTCCTATTATCTGCTTTCACTTTATGTTGTCTGCTGGTGTGCCAACTTATTATCTGCTCCCACTTTATGTTGTCTGCTGGTGTGCCGACCTGTTATCTGCTCCCACTTTATGTTGTCTGCTGGTGTGCCAGTCTGTTATCTGCTCCCACTTTATGTTGTCTGCTGGTGTGCTGACCTGTTATCGGATACACTTTGTTGTCTGCTGGTGTGTTGTCCTATTATCTACTTACCTGATCCCACTTTGTTGTTTGCTGGTGTGTTGACCTGTTATCTAGTTATCTGATTCCACTTTATGTTGCTGCACGGTGTCTATTTCTTCCATCTTGCAGTGTTCAGCACTGAGTTTTTTTTTTAGATGTTCATCCTAAACAATCAGCTGTTGAGATGTGTAATCAAGTTTAGTTTGTTCATGTTTACCATTGATCTGTTTATGTTAGAACAGAGTTGTTCTCACCATGTACATTCTTGTTTTCCCCCCACAGGTGGCAGGGAAGAAAGGTGAAAGTCACTGAGAGTTGCCCATCTGTTTTCTACAAACACAATTGTTTACTGGGTGTATGCATGATATGTTTGCACCTTGCAGCTGGTCACAGCACCAGACATCCAAGACTTTGCTCTGTGGAGGATCCGCTGTTTGAAATAAATGATCTAAACAGTCTTGGCTGCTTCGGCATTTATTTGTTCATTTCTGTTCTGACTCAGTGTGCAGATGTTTGTCTTTTAAGTAGCACTCTAGTTTTTTTGTCACATATTTAGTTGACAAAGATGTAGTTTGCTAGTCACATATTTAGTTGACAAGGATGTAGTTTGTTGGTCACATATTTAGCTGACAAGGATGTAGTTTGCTGGTCACATATTTAGTTGACAAGGATGTAGTTTGTTGGTCACATATTTAGTTGACAAGGATGTAGTTTGTTGGTCACATGTTTAGTTGACAAGGATGTAGTCTTGTGACTTGGTCACATATTTAGTCGACACCGATGTAGTTTGTTGGTCACATATGTAGTTGACAAGGATGTAGTTTGTTGGTCACATATTTAGCTGACAAGGATGTAGTTTGTTGGTCACATGTTTAGTTGACAAGGATGTAGTTTGTTGGTCACATATTTAGTTGACAAGGATGTAGTTTGTTGGTCACATATTTAGTTGACAAGGATGTAGTTTGCTGGTCACATATTTAGTTGACAAGGATGTAGTTTGCTGGTCACATATTTAGCTGACAAGGATGTAGTTTGCTGGTCACATATTTAGTTGACAAGGATGTAGTTTGCTGGTCACATATTTAGTTGACAAGGATGTAGTCTTGTGACTTGGTCACATATTTAGTCAACACCGATGTAGTTTGTTGGTCACATATGTAGTTGACAAGGATGTAGTTTGTTGGTCACATATTTAGCTGACAAGGATGTAGTTTGTTGGTCACATGTTTAGTTGGCACAGATGTAGTTTGTTGGTCACATATTTAGTTGACAAGGATGTAGTTTGTTGGTCACATATTTAGTTGACACGGATGTAGTTTGTTGGTCACATATTTAGTTGACAAGGATGTAGTTTGTTGGTCACATATTTAGTTGACGAGGATGTAGTTTGTTGGTCACATATCTAGTTGACAAGGATGTAATTTGTTGGTCACATGTTTAGTTGACAAGGTAGTCTGGTCTGGTAGTCTTAGTTTCAGCTTCATAGCAACGGGTCGCCCCATCTTTGCTCCGCTCCTGTGCCAACGAAAAACACCCAGAATGTTTATCACAGTCCCTAGTGGAAAGATTGACAGACTGCTGTCTCAGCATATCTAGCATACACTCGAATTAAAGCATACGGTAGCTATCCGAAGTGCTAACACAAACAGTCCAACATTAGAAATGCAGTTCATCATTGATGATAGCAGAACTTGTCGCCAACAGTTCAGCAGTTGTCCACGTGATCAATTTTAACCAGATACGGGCACCGCCAACATTGCACAACAGGCATCATGCCATTTTCTGAATCTACAATTCACACCACCACGTTGGTCACAGTCGAAAATACATTCCAAATGCAATCCACAGCTCACAGGGTCACGCCATGCATTCAACTCAAGCTGGGCGACGAAACTATATCCAGTCTACAAATGGAGCAAAAATACTTCGGCCATCGTCCGGCAGAAGGAAAAAATTTGCCTCCGCTTCAAACAGCGCCGCTGTCTAGCGTCCATTTTAACCGGAAGTCTATATTATATGTTGACAAGGATGTAGTTTGTTGGTCACACATTTAATTGACCAGGATGTAATATGTTGGTCATATATTTAGTTGACACGGATGTAGTTTGTTGGTCACATATTTAGTTGACAAGGATGTAGTTTGTTGGTCACATATTGAGTTGACACGGATGTAGTTTGTTGGTCACATATTTAGTTGACAAGGATGTAGTTTGTCGGTCACATATTTAGTTGACAAGGATGTAGTTTGTTGGTTACATATTTAGTTGACAAGGATGTAGTTTGTTGGTCACATATTTAGTTGACAAGGATGTAGTTTGTTGGTCACATATTTAGTTGACAAGGATGTAGTTTGTTGGTCACACATTTAATTGACCAGGATGTAATATGTTGGTCATATATTTATTTGACACGGATGTAGTTTGTTGGTCACATATTTAGTTGACAAGGATGTAGTTTGTTGGTCATACATTTAATTGACCAGGATGTAATATGTTGGTCATATATTTAGTTGACACGGATGTAGTTTGTTGGTCACATATTTAGTTGACAAGGATGTAGTTTGTTGGTCACATATTGAGTTGACAAGGATGTAGTTTGTTGGTCACATATTTAGTTGACAAGGATGTAGTTTGTTGGTCACACATTTAATTGACCAGGATGTAATATGTTGGTCATATATTTAGTTGACAAGGATGTAGTTTGTTGGTCACATATTTAGTTGACAAGGATGTAGTTTGTTGGTCACATATTTAGTTGACAAGGATGTAGTTTGTTGGTCACACATTTAATTGACCAGGATGTAATATGTTGGTCATATATTTATTTGACAAGGATGTAGTTTGTTGGTCACATATTTAGTTGACAAGGATGTAGTTTGTTGGTCACACATTTAATTGACCAGGATGTAATATGTTGGTCACACATTTAGTTGACAAGGATGTAGTTTGTTTGTCACATTTTTAGTTGACAAGGATGTAGTTTGTTGGTCACATGTTTAGTTGACAGGATAAATAGTCTAGTGTTTTCTTTTTTATCGAATATTTAGTTGACATGGATGTAGTCCAATTTTTGTGATTAAATATTTAGTTGACAAGGATGTAGTCTGGTTTTTTGGTCAAAATGTTAAGTTGACATGGACGTAGATTTGCTCGAGAGTCCCAACCATCTAGTTAAGCCCCAATCCACGCCGCTCACGTGGCGTAGGGGGATACTCTCTGCAGTTGCGGTAGGCGCCAGAAAACCGCAAATTAGGTCGCCAGAAGTGCGCAATTGACACGTGACTGAGGGCCTGTTTTTAGCCGCCATAGTATGTGCCCATTATTTGGAAGATAGCCAATGTCTAGTCGACACGGATCTAGTCTAATTTGTTGGTCAAATGTTTAGTTGACATAGGTGTAGTCTAGTCTGTTAGTCAAATATAGTCTAGAAAGTAGGTCAAATATTATTCTCACATATGTAAGCTTGGTGACTGATGTGGTCAACATCAAGCTAGTTGCCTTTGACTTCCCAAGATGATATTTGGTGTTAATTTTAGTCTGGATCAACCTGTGAGCTACTGTCAGTTTTGGAAAGGGGAAAACAGATCTCCACTCCTAAAATCCAAGACGGCTAGAGTTCTATCATCACAAACGAGACAACACCAGGTTCATTGGACTATTTATCAACATGAAACTTCTCAAACTAGTTATCTTCATAAACTTGTCTCTCCTTTCACTCTGAGGTCACATTTGAGGGACTCCTGCATTTTACAATAAAAGAAAAACGTATTTATAATATGTAAAGATAGCAGAAACAGATGTCCTTGTTTATATGCAAACAACATAAACATCCCCCAGGCATGAGATTAATAATATAATGAACATATCTTTTAGAAAAACTGAAATCTGACGCAAGCACTATGACATAATCATGAAGGAAAAGCATATCATGTTCTGTTATATGCATGTTTTCTATTCATTCAAACTTCACATCTGTGGCAAATGCACAAAAACACATAAGCACTTTTATTTAAACGTCAAACAACAACAGAATACAGCACTCCTAGAACAAGTCTGTGGCAGCAATTTGGAGTAGCATTTCGTCAATCAGCATGGCAATGGTTGCAGAAAATTACAGATATCTAGAGATAAAAATGGCTCTGGTTGCCAACATTACTGATAACTTACACCTAGAGGATAATGTATGGAAACCCTGGACAATAAACAAGCAATTATAAAACTCAAACTGACTCTCTGAAGATGTGGACATATACAAGAAAAGGTCATATTTCATGGATACAGAAACATTCATATGCAAGAGTCTAGAAATGGAAGGGCAGCTGCTGAAAGATGGGGGAAACAGAGACAAGAGAAATATTTTGGCCACTTCAACACTCCTGTAAAAACTAGACTGGAGGAGAACAGTTATTGGTAAGCAAGTAAGAGGCAGACATCGGAGGGGATAACAAAGAGAGATGAATGAGCCTGAGCATACAACCAGGATGAAAAGAAGTCGCCTGATTGGCTGATGACTCTAGGGGCTGACAGAGCCTGGTCAAAATCACAATTTCCATGTTTGCAGAGGTAGAGACATGGCCACTCTATCTCACTAGGTAGAGACATGGCCACTCTATCTCACTTGGTAAAGACATGGCCACTCTATCTCACTAGGTAGAGACATGGCCACTCTACCTCACTAGGTAGAGACATGGTCACTCTATCTCACTTGGTAGAGACATGGCCACTCTATCTCATTTGGTAGAGACATGGCCACTCTATCTCACTAGGTAGAGACATGGCCACTCTATCTCACTAGGTAGAGACATGGCCACTCTATCTCACTAGGTAGAGACATGGCCACTCTATCTCACTAGGTAGAGACATGGTCACTCTACCTCACTAGGTAGAGACATGGTCACTCTACCTCACTAGGTAGAGACATGGCCACTCTACCTCACTAGGTAGAGACATGGTCACTTTATCTCACTAGGTAGAGACATGGCCACTCTATCTCATTTGGTAGAGACATGGCCACTCTATCTCACTAGGTAGAGACATGGCCACTCTATCTCACTAGGTAGAGACATGGCCACTCTATCTCACTAGGTAGAGTCATGGCCACTCTATCTCACTAGGTAGAGACATGGCCACTCTATCTCACTATGTAGAGACATGGCCACTCTATCTCACTTGGTTGAATCAGTTTTGTGTTTGTAGGAATGCCCCAGCCTGCTTTCAACACAGGTTGTTCCCAGAAAATTCCAACCATATTTATCATTATTAGCACAACCGTACTCATACAAACATTACTCATTCATACAAATATTACTCACTCATACAAACACGGGTGAAATACTTGTGAAATATCTATTTGGTGAGGAAAAATAACATAGTCATCACTGACACACACTACTCACAAGTCTCCACTCATTCACTTACACGTACTGACCCCACGTTCAGCTGGAAGAAGAATCACCTCACAAACTAATACAATCAACTCCTATGACAAGACAAGAAGAGAACTGTTAACAGTAACCACAATTTGTCCAACAACATCCACCCAGGAATGACTGATTTCCCCACACACGGTCACTGGTGGGTTCCTTCCTCATGTCAACTGTTGCCCACTGTTCACTTTGCCAATTCTTGAGACAGAATCAAACCACTTCATATTTATCCACATAGAACAAGACTTCTGATGAGAACTTTTCCACTGCATCTCCGTCGATCTGTTGTACCTCATTAACCTGTTGAACAAAAAAAGTTGTTACCAGATAATTATTTCATGAAATAATCATCACCAGTAGCTTGCCCTGAACTTTAGATGCACCATCCTGTCTTTGACCTAGATAGGACTGATGCCAAATGCAGAAGGAAGGTCTTGTATAAAAACTGCTATCATAAAGTCTGATGGCTGTCTTTCTTCTTGAAAGACTATCCTGTTTTTTATATTATGTGTAAAATCTGACACCAGCCACACAATGAAATGAACCAGGTGTGCAACATATTTGCAAGCCACTACACTCCTTAGGAGATGAGAATGTGAGGCGTACATTCACAAAAATGTCTGCCTTTAAACAAAGATATCAATCCAGAAATTATTGTTTTTCACTAGTTCTTCATGAACAATAAATCACGTGATTTTACAAAAAGTATTTTATCAAGTACAAACTCACCGTGATATCACGAAAAAGTATTTCAACAAGCACAAACAACTCACTGAAATATCACAAAAAGTATTTCATCAAGCACAAACAACTCACCGTGATATCACAAAAAGAACGCTTGCACACAAAGGTGACAGTGACGGGGAAGAAGTCGTCAGGCTGGCCGTTGATGGTAAACTCCATGCTCCCTGATTTGTTGGTGGAGTCTATAAAAGGAAGCCGCCACTGCAGCATCCGCTTGTGGCTGTCGTAGTGGTGTTCCCCGTCACATTCTCTGACGACTGGAGCGCCGGCACCACTTCTACAATCACATACAAAATATATGGAATTAAAACATTCACCAATGCAGGTTGGCTCAGGGACTCACAATCGCCTTCATTTCTGTCCCAGGCCATACTAGTGTGAAAGGCAATGACACAGCAGATGCTCTGGCTGGCAGTGCAACTATCACGAATGGGCCAGCTATGGACAAGACAGACATTATCAATGCAATATGAGAGGCTAAACGCTGTGAGGCTTTTAGTTTCGTGGGAAATGTTTTACTGAATTGACTGCATACCCTGGGTGTACCAACTGGAGCAGCGAGACAGGAAACCCATGTGGGAGCCACCCGTCGTTACATCAACCAGAACAGAATAGGAGTTGTCAGCCTAAAAGCTCAGGAGGAAATCAAAGCACTTATGGTCATGTAAAATGTACGATAAAGATTATCTTTAAATAAACAATGGCATGTTTGAATCACTAACTTGTGAGAGAACTAAACAAATTCCAGTGAAGCAAGAGGTGAGGAAAAACTGCTGGTGTTGGATAGTACACATAAAAAAAAAAAAACACACATGGATGGAATATCAGAATCGGGGTTAAAAAAAACTGAGTGAACCAGTTAACGGACAAACATTTATGGAAAAACATCACTGCCAGACACATTTGTGGACAACATCACGGCCAGACTCATATGAACCAAAAAGGAACAAACATTTATGTACAAACATCACTGCTAGACATGGACCAATTACAGACAAACATCACTGTCAGACACATTTACAGACAAACATCACAGCCAGCCATGAACCAAATACAGACAAACATTTAGGCAAACATTACTGCCTGGCATAACCCAGTTACGGACAACCACTCATAGACAAACATAACTGCCAGATATGAACCAGTTACAGACAACCACTTATAGACAAACATAACTGCCAACATGAACCAGTTACGGACAACCACTTATAGACAAACATAACTGCCAACATGAACCAGTTACGGACAACCACTTATAGACAAACATAACTGCCAACATGAACCAGTTACGGACAACCACTTATAGACAAACATCACTGCCAACATGAACCAGTTACGGACAACCACTTATAGACAAACATAACTGCCAGACATGAACCAGTTACGGACAACCACTTATAGACAAACATAACTGCCAGACATGAACCAGTTACGGACAACCACTTATAGACAAACATAACTGCCAGACATGAACCAGTTACGGACAACCACTTAAAGACAAACATAACTGCCAGACATGAACCTGTTACAGACAACCACTTATTGACAAACATAACTGCCAGACATGAACCAGTTACGGACAACCACTTATAGACAAACATAACTGCCAGACATGAACCAGTTACAGACAACCACTTATAGACAAACATAACTGCCAGACATGAACCAGTTACGGACAACCACTTATAGACAAACATAACTGCCAGACATGAACCAGTTACGGACAACCAATTACAGACAAACATAACTGCCAACATGAACCAGTTACGGACAACCACTTATAGACAAACATAAATGCCAACATGAACCAGTTACGGACAACCACTTATAGACAAACATAACTGCCAACATGAACCAGTTACGGACAACCACTTATAGACAAACATAATGCCAACATGAACCAGTTACGGACAACCACTTATAGACAAACATAACTGCCAACATGAACCAGTTACGGACAACCACTTATAGACAAACATCACTGCCAACATGAACCAGTTACGGACAACCACTTATAGACAAACATAACTGCCAACATGAACCAGTTACGGACAACCACTTATAGACAAACATCACTGCCAACATGAACCAGTTACGGACAACCACTTATAGACAAACATAACTGCCAGACATGAACCAGTTACGGACAACCACTTATAGACAAAACATAACTGCCAGACATGAACCAGTTACGGACAACCACTTATAGACAAACATAACTGCCAGACATGAACCAGTTACGGACAACCACTTATAGACAAACATAACTGCCAGACATGAACCAGTTACGGACAACCACTTAAAGACAAACATAACTGCCAGACATGAACCAGTTACAGACAACCACTTATTGACAAACATAACTGCCAGACATGAACCAGTTACGGACAACCACTTATAGACAAACATAACTGCCAGACATGAACCAGTTACAGACAACCACTTATAGACAAACATAACTGCCAGACATGAACCAGTTACGGACAACCACTTATAGACAAACATAACTGCCAGACATGAACCAGTTACGGACAACCAATTACAGACAAACATAACTGCCAACATGAACCAGTTACGGACAACCACTTATAGACAAACATAAATGCCAGACATGAACCAGTTACGGACAACCACTTATAGACAAACATAACTGCCAACATGAACCAGTTACGGACAACCACTTATAGACAAACATAATGCCAACATGAACCAGTTACGGACAACCACTTATAGACAAACATAACTGCCAACATGAACCAGTTACGGACAACCACTTATAGACAAACATCACTGCCGACATGAACCAGTTACGGACAACCACTTATAGACAAACATAACTGCCAACATGAACCAGTTACGGACAACCACTTATAGACAAACATCACTGCCAACATGAACCAGTTACGGACAACCACTTATAGACAAACATAACTGCCAGACATGAACCAGTTCCGGACAACCACTTATAGACAAACATAATGCCAACATGAACCAGATACGGACAACCACTTATAGACAAACATAATGCCAACATGAACCAGTTACGGACAACCACTTATAGACAAACATAACTGCCAACATGAACCAGTTACGGACAACCACTTATAGACAAACATCACTGCCAACATGAACCAGTTACGGACAACCACTTATAGACAAACATAACTGCCAACATGAACCATTTACGGACAACCACTTATAGACAAACATCACTGCCAACATGAACCAGTTACGGACAACCACTTATAGACAAACATAACTGCCAGACATGAACCAGTTACGGACAACCACTTATAGACAAACATAACTGCCAACATGAACCAGTTACGGACAACCACTTATAGACAAACATAACTGCCAGACATGAACCAGTTACGGACAACCACTTATAGACAAACATAACTGCCAGACATGAACCAGTTACGGACAACCACTTATAGACAAACATCACTGCCAGACATGGACCACTTACAGACAAACATCACTGCCAGACATGGACCACGTATAGACAAACATCACTGCCAGACATGGACCACGTATAGACAAACATCACTGTCAGACATGGACCACTTACAGACAAACATCACTGCCAGACATGGACCACTTACAGACAAACATCACTGCCAGACATGGACCACTTACAGACAAACATCACTGCCAGACATGGACCACTTATAGACAAACATCACTGTCAGACATGGACCACTTACAGACAAACATCACTGTCAGACATGGACCACTTATAGACAAACATCACTGTCAGACATGGACCACGTATAGACAAACATCACTGTCAGACATGGACCACGTATAGACAAACATCACTGCCAGTCATGGACCACTTACAGACAAACATCACTGCCAGACATGGACCACTTACAGACAAACATCACTGCCAGACATGGACCACTTACAGACAAACATCACTGCCAGACATGGACCACTTATAGACAAACATCACTGCCAGACATGGACCACTTATAGACAAACATCACTGCCAGACATGGACCACTTATAGACAAACATCACTGCCAGACATGGACCACTTATAGACAAACATCACTGCCAGACATGGACCACTTATAGACAAACATCACTGCCAGACATGAACCACTTACAGACAAACATAACTGCCAGAGATGGACCACTTATAGACAAACATCACTGCCAGACATGGACCACTTATAGACAAACATAACTGCCAGACATGGACCACTTTCAGACAAACATCACTGCCAAACATGGACCACTTATAGACAAACATCACTGTCAGACATGGACCACTTATAGACAAACATCACTGCCAGACATGGACCACTTATGGACAAACATCACTGCCAGACATGCACCACTTACAGACAAACATCACTGCCAGACATGGACCACTTATGGACAAACATCACTGCCAGACAACGACCACTTACGGACAAGGGATGTTAATTTGAACATCCTCCAGTTCTAGGTTGTCTTGTTCAAGTTCATATTCAATGTTGACCTCTCCGTTTTCATTAGGCCAGCAGTTGACTATGGGTGAGAAACAGTTAAACAAATGCTTACAAGCCTTAAATACCATGCATGGATATTAGCAGGTTTTCTGCGACAGAAACTACAACTACAGGCTCAACTAAAAACTTACATGTAAAAAAAAAAAACAGTTAAAAAAAAAACTTTAAATAAACAAAAAAACTTCTTTTTTCTTCTTAAGTGGTACAAGAGTCACACCATGAAAGAGACTGGGGCCTTACGTTAAAATATTCCCAAGAAATCTGTCAATGAACTTTAGCCTAGTGCCACTGTGATATCACACATTTTTAAAAAACTGATGTCATTAATCTAGAATACTATAATGCTACGGAAAAGTGTACTGAGACAGTGGTGCCTACATCTGTAGCTGTACTGAGAGAGTGGTGCCTACATCTGTAGCTGTACTGAGAGAGTGGTGCCTACATCTGTAGCTGTAGTGAGACAGTGGTGCCTACATCTGTAGCTGTAGTGAGACAGTGGTGCCTACATTTGTAACTGTGCCGAGATCTCTCTCTACAGAAAGGCTAGCAGCTAAGACAAGCATCACACAAAGCACAAATTTCGTAACTCCAGTGATGATTCCCAGCATTGAAGTTAAAATGACAACTTTAAACTAAACAGCATGCCCTTAAACAGCAGCCATGACCTTCATAACGTGAACAAACAGGTTGATCATGCGGCCACAGTGTAATGATGGGAATCCCCAGGATAGCGTCACTGATTATGGAGAAGAACACAGAACAGTTACCGGACACCCTCGTGGGGTTCCGGGGCCCTATTATAGGGAAAACAAGAATAGACCGCCAACCTAAAAGCATGTTGTAAGAGTCGACTAATTCAAAGTCGGAGTGCATCAGCCTGAGAGGCAAGGAACCAATGGTCTGCACACAAGTGTGCTAGATCTGTCAAACGGATATACACGCATCACTCAGGTTCTGGAACAGGACTGCAGTCCAGAAGTGGACAAACAACCAGAACTTTCCACCAGATTTTACAGTTGGTGAACGCAAAGAAGAAGAAGTTACCGGACAGTACAGTTGTTGGATCAGCTAATAAAACTAATAATGGGTGTGTTTGTCATCTGAAGTTTTCATACTAACGTTTTACAACAAGGAAAGAAAGAACAAAGTTTTGATGAGCACAGATAAAATCTAGACACTCCCTAAGCTTATCCAGTCATGAAATTCACTAACTTAGATGTATCTAGTAGAGACTGATGATACCAAAGCTAATGATGGATGCGCAAACCCACTGACATAGATGTGTCTAGTAGAGACTGATGATACTAAAGCTAACGATGGATATGCAAACCCACTGACATAGATGTGTCTAGCAGAGACCGAAGATACCAAAGCTAATGATGGATGTGCAAACCCACTGACATAGATGTGTCTAGCAGAGACCGAAGATACCAAAGCTAATGATGGATGCGCAAACCCACTGACATAGATGTGTCTAGCAGAGACCGAAGATACCAAAGCTAACGATGGATATGCAAACCCACTGACATAGATGTGTCTAGTAGAGACTGATGATACTAAAGCTAACGATGGATATGCAAACCCACTGACATAGATGTGTCTAGCAGAGACCGAAGATACCAAAGCTAATGATGGATGTGCGACCCACTGACATAGATGTGTCTAGCAGAGACCGAAGATACCAAAGCTAACGATGGTGTGTGCGACCCATGGATATGCAAACCCACTGACATAGATGTGTCTAGTAGAGACTGATGATACTAAAGCTAACGATGGATATGCAAACCCACTGACATAGATGTGTCTAGTAGAGACCGAAGATACCAAAGCTAATGATGGATGCGCAAACCCACTGACATAGATGTGTCTAGTAGAGACTGATGATACTAAAGCTAATGATGGATGTGCGACCCACTGACTTAGATGTGTCTAGTAGAGACAGATGATACCAAAGCTAATGATGGATGTGCGACCCACTGACATAGATGTGTCTAGTAGAGACAGATGATACTAAAGCTAACGATGGATATGCAAACCCACTGACTCGACAAAGGCATGTGAGACTCATCCTGCGTCTGGAACCTCCACTTGAGCACCCCAATGTCCTGGCCCACAGGGAAACCCCTTTCTGGATTCTTGAGACTGACCACCGAAGTCTGGGCGAAGAGTTTCTTGTCGATATTCGGATGAGTCTGCAAAACATGAAGCCAGCAGCAAGCGTTGTAGGAAAGGTGTATACAATACAATAAACAACAGACAGACACAGACAAAGTATGCAATACTATAAACAACAGACAGACACAGAGTATGAATTACAATAAACAACAGATAGACAGAAACAGATAATGCACTACAATAAACAGATAGAAAGAGTGTGGAATACAATTTAAAAAAAAATAGAGAGACAGACGGACAGAAAAACAACAGAAACAGAGAGAGTATGCATGCAACACAATGAACAAGAGAGAGAGAGAGAGACAGACAGAGAAAGATGTCATAAATACAGTGCAATGAACAGAGAGAGAGAGAAAGAGAGAGAGGGAGGGAGGGGGGGAGAGAGAGAGAGAGAGGGAGGCAGGGGAGAGAGAGAGAAAGAGAGAGAGATCTCAACAGATAGTGTATGTATGTAGTATAACAAACAGCGACACAGAGAGAGAGAGAGAGAGAGAGAGAGAGAGAGAGAGAGAGAGAGAGAGAGATCTCAACAGATAGTGTATGTATGTAGTATAACAAACAGTGACACACAGAGACAAGAGTGAGAGAAAATGTATGTATGCAATACTATGACTAAGAGAGGGGTAAGAGACAAAGAAACAGACAGACAGAGCATGTACACAATAAAACAAACTAAGAGAGAAAATAAGATCATTAACTCTGGGATAAAGACGACTGCTGACCACAAGTCACAAACAAAAGTCCTATACCTGTAACTGGATGCCCTTTTTATCATTGTTGGTGACCTTGACCCTGACCTTGCTGGCCTTCTCATCGTTGATCCTCAGTCGCAGCATCCCGTGGACCTCCATGTTCTGCAGACCTCCATCCCTGCCTGCGGTCAATGAGATCTTCTCCTCCACCACCAAGTGCACCCTGCAGAAAACAATGGCCAACACTGGTTACTGACTTTTTCTTCTTGTGTCTGCCTTTACAAGGCTGGTTGGCATTTAGTGTTGTGGTTTACAGTCAAGCTGTGATTTGAGCATCCTCAGGCTCAATACATGTTTTTTCAGCAAACCTTTAACAAGATGCTGTTTACGTCATTCTTTTGGTAACGTTTTAACTTAGCCCTCCCCTCAGCTGTGGAAATCCACATGTAGGGAAGGTTACTGATTCAAGATTTTACATTACAGACTAGCGGGCATACCTACAAATAGCTGCCTCTCATGACATGCATACTAAGTAAAATTTTTATTATTCTTTGGCTTCTCATCTGGCCTCAGCCACATAAGTAAGTGCCAACTCTAGAAGGAAATGCCATCAACACAAATGAATACCAGCCACAAAAGTGTTTGCCAGCCACACAGGTAAGTGCCAGCCACACAAGGGAGTGCCAGCCACACAAGGGAGTGCCAGCCACACAAGGGAGTGCCAGCCACACAAGGGAGTGCCAGCCACACAAGGGAGTGCCAGCCACACAAGCGAGTGACAGCCACACAAGGGAGTGACAGCCACACAAGGGAGTGCCAGCCACACAAGGGAGTGCCAGCCACAGAAGCCAGTGCCAGCCTCACAAGCGAGTGCCAGCCACACAAGCAAGTGCCAGCCACACAAGTGAGTGCCAGCCACACAAGCTAGTGCCAGCCACACAAGCTAGTGCCAGCCACATGGTAGCTGCCTTTCTAAGGCTGAACCCAGAAGAATACAAACAGCATTACAACAGATCAGACAAATGAGCTGGCCCTGCCTCAGCTGTCCGACAACACCCAGCAGCATGAAGCAGACACTGAGAGAAACAAGTGAACATGTGAACACAAATGAGGGCATGTCTGAAGGAGCTCACCTCTCCTGGTTAATGGCTGATGTGCTGGACTTGCTGACTGGGGCTGTCAGGGACTTTGATGAGTCAGCCACTCCTGAAAACATAAACACACATCAATGTTCAGGTTTATACGGCCATTACAGTCACTGGTAAAGGAAAGCAATGGCAAACTACCTTCTTTAACTGTTTATGCCTCAAGGCGCATTGGGCATATAGGGTTAGACCTATATTTTATAGACCGATCGACAGTTGGTGTGTGAAGTCATTAGCATCTTGCTAGCTACCTTTACTTCCCAGGACTTTACCAGATACCTATTTAAGGCTGGGTCGACCTGCGAGCCAAAGACATTTTGACAAAAGTGCAGCTCTGTTCAGATTTGAACCGACAACCTTTGGATCTGACGGTCAGCATCTAGCCGCTATTACTTTCTTTAAAGATGCTTAAAAGACAGAGAGTTGTTAAGAGCAACAGAGTGTCAATTCTAAAGTATGAAAGTAAATCATGGGCAATCAGCAGATCTGTAAATACAGAGATGTGGCTGCAGAATATTCAAGGTGGTTGTAGGACAAGACAGCTGGCACTATACTTGAGAAGAGACCAGATGAGATTTCCTCCATCAGAAATTAGGGACATTTTAAAAGCAAGGGATTGTGGAAACAAGGACAACTAAGAGAAACCTGGAGTTATAGAGTGAGAGAGGGTCAAGCTGCTGGATTAGATTCCATCCATATCAAATAGACAGCTCAGGATAGAAGGGAGTGAAGGAATACAACAACACAACAGGATGAGGACGATTACTGTTATAAACATATATATGTATATGTGTGTGTGTGTTCAGCATACTAAGGCACAATGGTTTGACCCTAACCAATACACAACAGAGTGAAAGAGACAGCTGACTTACTCTCGCCCTCAGACTGCAACTGATCCACAAATGAATCGACATCCTTCTTCTTGGATCCTAGCTTCAATGCTTTGCTGGGACCGCTGATGACAGGCTTGCTGGTAACATATGGAAAGTTAAATTCAGCCGACAGGTAAACCACAACACATAAAGATGTGATAAATTTAACTAATAACATAACAATGTGATAAATGCTTTCAATCAATCAGCATACCAGGTCCGACAATTAAGTAATGAGACTTATTCCCCAACAATTAAAATAATCAACAGTTGAAGATATAACCTGTATTTTATTCAAAGTAAGCCCCTTGTGCAATGATACAGCAAGTGGCACGATCTAACAAACACTGGAACGACCTCTGTAATTCTTCTGTTGTTATGGCCCATAGAGTCTATGTTACAGCCCTTTGGATGTCATCAATTTTGTTAAAGAAGCATCCCTTCGATGTTAACTTTAATTTTGGAAATAGAAAATAATCACAGGGAGACAAATCTGAGGAGTGGGGTGGATGGTTGAGAACACACACTTGTTCTGGGGCCAAACATTCCTGTACAACTACAGCCCTTTGAGCCGGTGCATTGTCACAAAGAAGAAACAATTTACCAGGTGCTGAATGCAAACCAAACTGGCAAGGAACTTTTTTTTTGCCCAAATCTTCCACTAAATTTTAAGAATAGTCTCTGTATTAACACCAAATTCATCTACCATCATCCTCACAGTTGAACAATGATCTTCTTGTATCCGTTCTCGGAATTTTGCAATGAGTTCCTCATTACGAACAAAAACTGGGCGCCCAGGTCTAGTTGCATTAGTAATCATTTCCACACCACTTTTGAATCGTGAATACCAGCTGAAAATCTGTGCACGAGATAAACAACTATCCTATTATCGCATTAATTCAACCGCCTCAGTGGCACCTTTTCTGAATTGTAAACAGAATTTAATTTAATTTAATGTTAGCTTTTTTGCTTCCTGCTGATTGCGTAACAATGCACCTCTGACTAGGTCAACAAAATGGCAGCTTGTTTGTTTGCTTATCGTGCGGTGATGAAAAGTTGCCAGATAAAAGATAAAGGTTGCCTCTTTAGATTCCATGCTTTGTTTTGTAGATAGCATTTTTTCTTGGCCATAATAAAATCAGTCTCACTACTGAATTGTCGGACCTTGTATCCTTTATGGAATGATGCTCTCTACATTACTTGCCTACAAATCTTTTTCCTCTAGCCAATTCTCCAGCACAGTGTGCTCTCAGAGCCAAAGCATCTTCAGTGTACCGTATCCACACTCGCTGTGGTCGCCTCTGCCTCATTTTTTGCAAATTGCACCCTCCATCACAGTTCTTTCCAGACCATCATGGTACCTGACATGTCCTAAATATCTCAGCTTTCGGGACAGGATGCTGTTTACAAGCCAGCTTTAATGACGTCATGCAGGATGTTGACATTTTTCTTTTCCGTGGACAATGGTATTCTAAGAATATTTAGCATTTCAGTTTAAAAGCTCTTCATCAAAGTTATAATGAGAAAGTCGCACAATGTCAAAATTTGGCTATCTTTCGAATAACGGTCCCAAATGAACTACGCAGACAGCTAACCCAAACAGAGCCTCATTACGTCCTGCCCTACAAAGATTTGAAATAGAAGTATCAGGAAAATGGGGGAAGTCTACTACTTACCGACAGTGACATCCTCTATACATGACAATTATGACACAGAAGTTCCAAATAGTGCGCGAATATCTGTTCTCTCCCGCTCTGCCGCCATTGGAACTCAGCACCACGGCTTGTCCGCGATTCTCGTTGCGGGCGAGACATGATCAGCCTGTAATGCGCAGTGTAATGTACGCGCATGTCGGCTCGGACAACTTCAAACGAGCAGCCGCCACGATGCCGCTGGTAGTTTCATCAAAAGTCGTAGCTCCTGTAAATTGTTGGCTTTTGTCCCGGCGACTATAGTGCCACCTCCGAAAGTATACCCCGCGCCGATATGCGCGGCGCGGAAGGGACTACACTAGATGGCTAGGACTCACGAGCAAATACATTAGAGCAAGCTGCAGGAGCTGTGGTAACTGCTGCTCGTGAGTCCTAGCCATCTAGCTTAGCCCCGTCAGCGCCGCGCGTAGCGGCGCGGGGGATACCCTCGGAGGTGGCACTATAGTCGGCAAAAAGCGGCCTGCAACTTAGATATAACTCGGGCCCTGCCGTAGGATACTGCTATCGGGAGTATTCTCGCGCGTCGGTAATTTTTTTCATTCGCAGTTAATCCTAGTTTTGCCGCCGTGTAATCGCCGTAAAAATCTTCCTTTGCGTTTCGCCAAAATGTCGTGCGCAGTTAATACTACTTTCGACACGGTTGAATCTTCGCAAAAGAAATGCAAATTTTACATATGTGTGAGGCTCTGTTTGGGTTAACTGTCTGTGTTGTGAGGCTCTGTTTGGGTTAGCTGTCTGCGTAGTTAATTTGGGACCGTTATTCGAAAGATAGCCCAAAATTTTTACTTCAACTTCCTAGCAGAAATAAACATGACACACAACGACATGACATTACGCTGACAAAGCACTAAATTCACAAGTCACAGTGCTCTCTGAATGCCTCTTTATAAAATAAGAGTTGTCGACATACCTGGCCTTGCTATAAGATGTCTTGCTTGGAGCATCCAAGGTGGAACTGGCGTCGATGACCGGCGTCACCTCAGAACGGTAGGAGCCACTGCCAAAGCCTCCCCCACTGCCAATACCTGTGGTACGACCAGACTTGGCCATCTCTCTGTTCTTCTGTTGAATCTCTTTGGCCTTCTTCTTCATCTGATCCCTGGCTTCCTTCTCTTGGGTCTGTAATTGTGAGTGTAAAAAAAATATTACCAACGTACAAGTGCAATAGGCAGCCAGGCTAAAGAAATTATACACAGAGCAAGGGGAAGACTACTCATACATGGAACAATTGTAGCAACCTTTAGAGAATGCAGAACACAGACATGATCTTTATATCTCCTCCTGAACTTTGCGTCATATGTCACAAATAACTCATACACCATCATATTTCATACAAATATTGAGATGACCCACCTGTCTGACAGCCTGAAATACTTTCTCTTCATGCGAGTCCATCTCCGTGAACGTCCTAATCTGAGCCAGGTTAACATTTTCCCGGTAGCCGAGGGCAACTATTTCATCGAATGCAAAAATCAGTGAAAATGCTTGGTCTATGATGTCAGACTCCTCCATGTTGCGGCAGTACTCAGGCAGCTGAAATAAAGACAATTACAATTCCTTGGTTATATGTGCCTAGCCTTCAAGACTGATGTTCACATGAAACTAAATAAACTTGAAATGTTAAAGTTAAAAAGTTAAAGTCGAGTGGATCAACTTTACTGCACCAGGTTAATTACTTATGGCACGGTCCCTCTCCACAGCACAGTCAGCTGCTTATTGACAACGCCTCACAAAGCACAAACTCTGCATCTCCAGCAATGATCCTCTAGGATCTCTGTAAAAATTGCACTCTTGAACTGAACAACGCAGCTATCACATGTACCAGCGAGCTTCAGAGCGCAATGCAAATGGCTTGATCACTTCGCCCTAGAGACCCCCGAAAACTATTTTTTTCCCCCAACACTAAAACTGGTGGAAGCCGTGACAATTACAGTGAGTAATATCACATTGTGCTAACTAAAAAAATATGTGGTAAATTATAGAGTGCTGAAGTCACAATGTGGCAAATCATGAATTTACAGTGGGGAGATGTACACTAATTAGAGACATTGTGATTTGTCTATTTCAAAGGAAAGGATTCATTTTTGTGCTTTAATGTATGCTGGCGTAACTCTGTAGTAATGCAACTGACACACTATTTATATAAGAGGAAAGCATTTAAAACTAAACTTTGCTCCAGTTGCTGAGTTGAACATCACACAGAAAGACTAAACTTTTATTAGTTGAATTCAGTCTTATTAGTTGAACTTGACATGAGTCTCCACTGTACATCATCCTTATCATCCTATAACACTGTGTGTGGCTGGGTTGCCAGCTGCTGCTGACTGTCTGACCAGCTCTCTCCACCTTTGAGTCAGATGCAATGGACTTCATAGTCTCCTCTACCAACCTGCTGAGTAGATCAGTCAGTCGCATGACCTTTGCAGAACCTTGCTCCCATAACAACCTTTAGGAAAACTTCTTGATTACAAGCAAGATGTTAGCGCCTGTTACACCCATCTGGAGATCATCCGCAACATCCTGCACCCATCTTCTCTTTGGCCTTCCTCTTCTTCTCTTCCCAATCATATACCCCTCCATTTTTTTCTCTCTAAACTTTTGTGACATTTTAAGTCCCCAAAATATTTCAGTTTTCCTGTGTTTTATCGTCTTTAACAGCCAACCTTCTTCAGTATTCAGCTCTTGAAGTATGGATTTATTTGTTCTTTTCTTTACCCATGATATTCTTAGAATCTGTTTATAACATTTGTATTCAAAGGCATTTATGCACTGTTCCACTTGTTTAGTAAGCGCTGAGTAGATAAAATTTAACAATTCTCAACTTTCATGTGGCATTTATCACGCCAGATGTTCAATTTCTCCTCATGTCGCTGAGAATGATTTTTGCCATTATATTCTGTCGATAATTTATCCTTTCTACCTTTAAAACCCCACACAAATATATAATATGAATGAACAAAATAAGCAACCTTCAAAACACCACACAAATACATTATATGAATAAAAGAACAAAAAAAAACCAACCACTTTTGCAAACAGTCGAAGGGTTTCTAGATCTTCCAGGATATTGGAAGCTTTTGTAGTTATCAGCAGAATGTACAACTTCTCCAACGGCTGGTACACGTAACGAACACTTTCCGTCTCTACAAATGTGTGCTGTTTGCCGGTTCCCATCAGCTTCGGGAAAGCAGCCAGGAGACCCTCAACTCTTGACCGGGTCATCTCCACAAACTGCCTAGATATGAGAGCTGTGGATGACAGAATGTTATTCAATATTTTTATAAGAAGGACAAGTATTTTAACACACCAGAGGTGCTCTGATCTGCTCCTCAACAATTTCACAAGCAGAACATCACAGATCACACCTGTGCTCGACTGATGTGATGCCTTATCCCCTTAGTGCAGGGGTTCTCAACCTTCCTAATGTCACAGCCCTTTAACACAGTTGCTCGTGTTGTGGTGACCCCCAACCATAAAATTACTTTCATTGCTACTTCAGAACTTCAGTGAATATGTGTTTTCCTATGGTCTCATGCGACACCTGTGAAAGGGTCATTTGACCCCAAAAGGGTCGCGACCCACAGGTAGAGAACAACTGCCTTAGTGAAATGCTTCTGTCTTGCTTCTGTCTAGAAGCTCTAGGCTGCACCTTCATGGAATCTGTGCACAAGCAATTAGATGACATCTGTGCACAAGCAATTAGATGACATATGTGCATAAGTAATTAGATGGCATATGTGCACAAGCAATTAGATGGCATATGTGCACAAGCAATTAGATGGCATATGTGCACAAGCAATTAGATGGCATCTGTGCACAAGCAATTAGATGGCATCTGTTCACAACTAATTAGATGGCATCTGTGCACAAGTAATTAGATGGCATCTGTGCACAAGTAATTACATGGCATCTGTGCACAAGAGATTAGATGGTATCTGTGCACAAGTAATTAGGTGGCATATGTGCACAAGTAATTAGATGACATGACAGAATTATTAATGTGACGTTAGGGAGTAAACTAAAGAAATCTGTGCATCCAGAAGTGAGGAAATAAATGCTGGTAGTGGATATGACACACAATTTACTGTTTATTCTGTAGCTATAATATGCATGTAATGGAACCAGACAGTAAAAGACTGGAGGGGCTGGGGGAAGGATGAGGGGGGAGGATTGCACCTAAAATCACATGGCATATAATCTGTGGGGAACATGGTGAGGTGTGCACGAGATGGCAACAGATCAGACAACAGAATTAGTTGGCTGAGGGCCTATGATCAAATCAGGGATAAAAGGCAGTAGAGAAGGTTATATTCTGTTGATTTACCACATCAGGCTGACTTTGAGATCTGGTAGGGAAATCTACAGATCGTCCCATAGTATAGGGGAGTGAGGCTTAGTAGTAGTTGCTATTTATTTAACACTAGCCCTAACTCTAACCCCCCTATACTATGGGGCGGTCTGAGAGTTTTCCTAGCAAATCTCAAAGCCGGCGAGATGCGGTAAAATAACAGAAAAAAAAAAAATCGCTTGAAGAAAATACTGTTTCTTGACTGAGTTATCTGTGATACTATCTGTTTGTTTTGTATGAAAAAAATTCACAGGCTATGACTGACATTAACAGATATGGATAGTAGCAAAAACAATAGAGGCTATATATATATATATATATATATATTGGGTGGGTGGGTGGGGGTGTGTGTGTGTGTGTGTGTACACACACACACGCACACATACACGCACTTACTCATACATATACAAATATATAGAAACTATGTATCAAAAACATCACATGAAAACAACAAACCTTTTCCAGTACGGTTACAAACTGCAGCAGCAAGCAGCACCTGAAAAAGACCATGTGAAACACAGAGAGTGATATCTGCTCATGTTGGCTACCATACATCTATCTTCAACTGCAAAACATATAGGGTGATATCTGCTCATGTTGGCTACCATACATCTATCTCCAACTGTGAAACATACAGGGTGATATCTGCTCATGTTGGCTACCATACATCTATCTCAAACTGTGAAACATACAGGGTGATATCTGCTCATGTTGGCTACCATACATCTATCTCCAACTATGAAACATACAGGGGGATATCTGCTCATGTTGGCTACCATACATCTATCTCCAGCTGTGAAACATACAGGGGGATATCTGCTCATGTTAGCTACCATACATCTATCTCCAACTGTGAAACATACAAGGTGATATCTGCTCATGTTGGCTACCATACATCTATCTCCAACTATGAAACATACAGGGGGATATCTGCTCATGTTGGCTACTATACATCTATCTCAAACTGTGAAACATACAGGGGGATATCTGCTCATGTTGGCTACCATACATCTATCTCCGACTGTGAAACATACAGGGTGATATCTGCGCATGTTGGCTACCATACATCTATCTCCAACTGTGAAACATATAGGGTGATATCTGCTCATGTTGGCTACCATACATTTATCTCCGACTGTGAAACATACAAGGTGATATCTGCTCATGTTGGCTACCATATATCTATCTCCGACAATGTGAAACATACAGGGTGATATCTGCTCATGTTGGCTACCATACATCTATCTCCAAATGTGAAACATGCAAGGTGATATCTGCTTATGTTGGCTACCATACATCTATCTCCAACTGTGAAACATACAAGGTGATATCTGCTCATGTTGGCTACCATACATCTATCTCCAACTGTGAAACATACAGGGTGATATCTGCTCATGTTGGCTACCATACATATATCTCCAGCTCACTGAGCCTAGCTGAACACTCTCAGACTGCTGTTCCTCTACTCCTGATGTTACCCTCCCATTTATACCTCTCTTTACCTCATACTCTCTTGTCTTTAACATTTCCCCTCCAGTATGGCTGCTGTAAGTGTACTTCACTGTTTTCATTTAAATATTTATCTCTCCCTTGTTGGTTTCTAAACTTGTTTTTCTACTTAGGAAATACAATATATGATTATGTATTCCCCTTTTTCAGGGCTTCAGTAAAAAGCAAAACATATTTTTATTATCACTAGGGTAAATAACAACTGGTTGACTATCACCATCAAAGTGTCTGTGAAACAAGCAGTTGTAGCAGACTGTGGCTAGCTTGTAATGGATATCCTGTTTGATCCATCTGGGTTTCAGTTGGGATATAAATATAGTTTTGTTCTTATTTCACATTTGTTGTTGTTGGTGTATCTATGTTTGTCAATTAGTTTTTGGTTACATAATAGTCTGACAGATTGTAGGAGTATGTACATGAGTATGTGTAGATCAGATCTTTGAGAATAAGAGTATACATATACAGTCAGTATACAGAATTTATTAATAGCAAAGTTACTCTTGGCTATCCTCCAAATAATGGGCACAAAAGATAGCGGCCAAAAACAGGGCCTCAGTCACGTGTCAGTTGTGCACTTCCGGCGACCTAATTTGCAGTTTTGCGGTGACCACCGCCACGAGTATCCCCCACGCCGCTCATGTGGCTTGGATTGGGGCTAAACTAGATGGCTAGGAATCACAAGCAAAGCTGCAGGAGATGCGGAAGCTGCTACTCGTGAGTTCCAGCCATCTAGTTTAGCCCCAATCCAAGCCATGTTAGCGGCATGGGGGATACTCTCGGCGGTGGCGGTAGTCGCCGGAACACCGCAAATTAAGTCGCCGGAACACCGCAAATTAAGCAGCCGGAACACAGCAAATTAAGTCGCCTGGAACACTGCAAATTAAGTCGCCGGAAGTGCGCAATTGACACAGGTATGAGGCTCTGTTATGATATTTAAGCGGCCGTTATCTTTTGTGCCCGTTATTCTGAGAATAGCCTTACTCTCATGCTAATGGGGGGTGGGGGAACTCTCTTAAGCTAACCTTAGGTTCTTCTCAATATTCTTTGCGCCATACAGATTTCAAACTGAACACATTTTAAAAATGCAGTCAACGCAAAACTTAAATTTTAACTTTGTTAATGTTGACATTTTTTTTTCAGTCTGTCTCTAATGTTAAATGTGCCAGTGTACGGTCCAAAATAATTGTATTGGTTCTGTTCTGTAATTATTATTATAGCTCACTTCTGCGGTAAACTAAATGATTGCTCGTCAGCTGAGCAGTTCCAGTCCACATCTGCATTTAATCTATATGGAAGCTTTATCTAACTACAGCAGAAGGAACAGTCAAACACAACATAGACAAGAGTTCACAACTAGAACAGAACCGAACCGATATCACAAAAGAATTGGAACTAGCATTCCAGCTTGGGAATCACTTGCAGGAGGCTATCTATAGACTATACAGTGACTGTGACCAAGGTAACCACAGAGAGTGTACATAGATTTATCTGATGGACTCTTGCTGAAGTTTCAGGCACACCAGAGATTGTACGTACCATGTTAGCTGTCTGCTAGAGTCTCCTCCAACAACGAACAAATCTTCTCTCTCTGATCGGAACTGTCACAAAATGGTGGACGGCCTTCCACGTAAACACACCGATTAGTTCGCTTCCTAAATATATTATAATAAACATAAAGTATTAATGAACAGAACTTAAAATTATTATTTTCGATCTTTGATTCAACAACTGCGTACACTGCATAGTTTTCATAGCCAATATCATGATAAATCGGGGACTATGTTTTGTGTGTACATAAGCAACTTACACACACTGACCGGAAATGTACGTAACGTGGACTACTTTCATTAACCCTTTCACTTGCAGACGACAGTGGGACACCGTTAACAGACACTGACAGACTGTTATCTCCTCCAAGATGATCTCAGACAGTTTGACGGCTTTTGTGACTCCAAGAGTTGCATCTCCGATGGCGGTCCAACCGTGCAAGTACAAGAAGTTATTAATCAGACACCTGTTAAGAGCTGCATCAGGCACTACTTCTGTGTCCTATGCTAGTAAGGTTAATCTAGAATAGAGTTTCATGTTTTTTTCTCTCCATGTGCGTGCAGGGGCCCCATTGTGGGAGAAAACAAGAATAGACCCACTGTCTCCCCCCCCCCCCCCCCAAAAAAAAGCACTTTGTAAGAGTCGACTGATTAGAAGCTTTATTCGGAGTCGGATTTATTCTACCTGAGAGGCAAAGAGCCAGCAGTAAGATCTGTAAAATAGATGTGCACGCAACACGCGGGTTCTGGAATAAGACTAGAGCCCAAAAGTGGACGAACCACCAGGACTTTCTGCTGGAGTTTACAGCCGATGAACGCGAAGAAGAAATATTTGTGGGAACTGTGTGGCAAGGGTTAGCAACGAGGAAGAGAGCTGACCCTAACACATTGTAGTGGCCTGGAATCTGTGTAGTGCTAATCTTACACAAAACCTTTGGGTTCATCTCTCTGTCATTTGAGGATATTAAATAAATTGTTGAGACTCAAAGCAAATTCAGGACACGTAATTTAAAACAAAACAAACATTTCTCTAAGCAGAAAAAGCTCTGCTTTTTTCCCAACCAGAAGAGAAACATCACCATCATCATGTTGGGCACTGTATTTCACGTAGAATTGTCAGTCCATTG